TTTCAGAGGTAGTTTTGTTTCTCTTATCTTAAAGAGAGACTGAGGTAATTCACCTGGCAGTTTGCCCCTGCACTTTGTACAAAAAGAGCATTTCGAAGAGTACTTCAACCTCACTGCGCTCTGCCCATCAGTGCAGTCTCGACTGCTTCCTGCTTTAAGTCCCCTCCAGTCCATGCATCAGCTTAAACATGCATATTAACTTAGATAAGGACAGCGATGTCACCCACACATTTTAAATTTGGAGCCCAAAACTGTTGAAACAAACGCTCTAGACATTCGAGAGGAAACTGGAATTTATTTTTCAGAGAATCCCCACAAATCTACCCTTTGGAAATTTCCATCCTGGTTTATCTCTGTTGCTGCTTGTTTCACCTACAGCTGGAACTTCCACCACTGTAGCTTGCCAATCATTCTTCTTCACAAAAATACACTAGACTCGGTGGAAATTGAAAAAAAAAAAAAAAAATTCTGTTCAGGACAAAGAAAAGGTAAGAAAAGAAAGGTCTGCTGGATAGATTAGTAGAGAAATATCCTTACGTCATTCCTCTAACACTTGTGAATGAAATTTCTATAAATTATGTATGGAATACAAATCAAAGCAAACCAGTGAAGAAGAAAAACAGTCTATCATTGTTATTTAGTCGAGCTTGTTTGCATTTGCTTCTGTAAAGCTTATTTTGTATCTGAATCAGAACTAGCTTACATGGACTAGACTGGTTAGCCAAACTGGCTAGCAAGAGTACAAGACTCACCGCGCATTCCTCAGCTTTCATCTATCTTGCAAGAAAATAGGGCTGTCATGTACTGTACTATTCACCCCTAAAGACAGCGGCTGTCTGCTTCTGTGGCTCTGCATGAGCCTCTCACAGTTGACCACTGAGGAACTGTGCATGCAGTCCCCATCGACCCTTCTTAGTTCATTTCAGAGGTGAGGCAAGATTGTTTGCTGAACAGAACACAGTGAAAAAAAGCAGGAAACTCTCTCCACAGTGAATGATGGGAGAGAAAGGGCCAAAACAACTACAAGCAGGTCTGAATTTAAGACAAAACGTGGAGAAGCAGATATACTTCACAGTCAGTCCAGGATACATCACAAAGTACAGACAGACTCACTCAACCTGAGTCAGCACATGCTATAAGCTGACGTTAGGGATCCAAAGCTACCAAAACAGCTCTGGGATGAACTTCGTAGACTCTGTTGAGGAACGTGATCTGAATGTGAACAATATTTTGAAATTTCATAGAAATGAGGGAGGCAAACACACGAAGGAACTAATTCCCACCACACACGAGATCTGCAGGCGTTTTTTGATAATTAAAGAGTAAGTTTTTTGAAGACTACATAACTGTACTCAATGTGGTATCACAAAAATTTAGCAGCATGGTAAGTGCCTTACTCAGGTACATTTAAAATAGTGCTGTGGGATATTTGTGCTGAGGAATTCCACCAATTCCACCTTGACACTGGGCAGGAACTAAAGGACCTAAAAAGGATGAACTGCAGCACAGCAGAATGCATACACTGAAATTCGTTTACCTAGAGAAGTATGAATGCCACTTCAGAGGCTAAAATCTAAGCTGAATCATGATTGTTCCAAAGTCCAGCGAGATGTTTTCTTTGATTCCTTTATGGTTTCATCATTTGCTCAGCTGATCAGTACCCAGCCAATCTGTCACCCAGAAAAGGTGCAGCTGCTATCTATGACATCAGTTTGAGTTTCTACTGCACATTTATGTTCTCCCTAATCTTCATAATCTTGGCAGCGAGAAGATACTGTGTGAAGGAGGGCAAACTTAGCTGGGCAGCTGCAATTCCAGGACTCCAAAATCCAGCTCGGTGTGGAAACAAGTTTAAGAGTGTGAGTATGGAAAGGCAGCTCAAAGCGATGGACAATAAGAAACTGCAGCAAGAAGGGAAAAGAATTTTCCAGCATCCCCATAGTTTTCCTTAGTAATCACAAATGGAGATTTTCAGATTTAAGAACCTTTGACAGGGGAATGCCTTTTTGGCTCCACATTGCTGGGGAAGGGGGCTTGTCTCTAGCACAGTATGGTCACCATCGGTGACTGCAGATCCTTAGCACCATCACAGTATAAATCCATAAAAAAAGACTACATCTAAGTGGCATGCACATATCAAAGCAAGATTTTTTTAATGCTGGAAGGATACTACACATGAAATTCCAAATTACTTCAACAATTAGAAGTCATTTAAATTCCAGTTTCGAATCCTTCACTTCCCTTCACGCTAAAACTGCACTATTGAAAAACACGTGTTCCCAAGCAACCCAGGAGAGACTTCAATGTTTATCCCCATTTGGAAGCAATCAGTGTCTTCTACTTCCTCCTAGATGAGGATCTGCCAGTGAAGTAAACAAAGTTATTTGCAGTTGAGCTAGCAGGTCTTGGCCACTTGTGCAGAAACACTGGCTTGTTTGGTTACGGCACTCTTCGTTTTAAGTGATTTTGTGTTCAGACTCCTTCCTTAGCACAGTTAAGGAGTGACTAAGAAAAGAAATTGAATTTATTGTTGAATTCAACTCCATTTTATAAAAAAAGTTCCTTCCTTCCCTCTCTCTAGCTGTCAATCCTTCCCTTCAGTGTTAGTGGTGCAGTCAGTAAATGTTCTCATTCCTCTGTGGGCAGCAAACATTACTGGTCTCTTCTCAGCTTCCATATGATTTAATATGTTAATTCATAGACAGTGTAAAAGAAAGGAAGAAATACAAAATCAGCAAAGCCATGGGATAGCCTATATCCTGCTGCGTCTGCCTTGTGATTTGGTGGGAGTGCAATGAACAGTAATCACACGTCCCTTCCCCAGGGGGAACAACACTACGCTGTCAACTTTGCACACCGAGACAGTCTTCTCATCAACTAATCTGCTATTTTTCTTAGATTTTGCGTTGTATCAAGACAGGGAAATAATGTGAAATTTATTGTATTTTTAAAATATTTAACTATCATGTCAAGGTCGAAATTGGCTTTTACTAAGGCCTCAGTTGCATTTTCTTTTTAAACCATTTCCTGGTAAACAAACTTTCCTCTGCTGGAAGTTTTAGCTCATACTTTCTCTTCTTGACATGAGAATTCTTCTGATTATAACTGAGCTATCTAGGAATGTAATGTGGGCAGTACTTGGGCTGACCATGTTAAAGCTTCTCTTCGGAGGAAAATACTTGTTACTGGTGTTCTAACCCAGCTTAAGGATACAGCACAGAAAAAGACAGCTAACCTTCAGCCCCCTCTTCTACTAGTTGTGGTAACAGCAGGTGAGAACAACGTGTACTAAGTATCTGCTACTTTGCTTTCCACACTTAGGAACCACTTCAAACTTAGTGAAATTACATTTCAAATACACATTTTTCAAGTGGCATATAAGATTTCATAGACTAGGATGAGGTAGGGGGCTTCCTTTCAAGGACAGCAAGGAATTCTTTAAGGTGTTTTCCAAAATGTCAAAAGGTAATTTTAAATTGTAATTTTTAATAACTGTTTTAAAAAATAATAGCTTTAATTTTATAAAAGTTTTTTTATTTGTGTAATTTTTAAAAATTATAATGTACATATATAAAACTTGCGTACATGCTAGTTTCACCGCAAAGTTCATCCACAGTGGTTACCTAGCATACATTTCATAACATCATTTTTCATCTATAAGGGAAAGCGCGTTCCAGTTAAGACTTCAAATCATGACCATAACGTGCACGGTGCTGGGTTTTGGATCTGTGACTGAACCAGTATTAATAAGGCACCAGTGTTTCGGCTACTGCTGAGCAATACTTGCACCATGTCAAGGCTTTCTCTTTTTCCCGCACTGCTTTCCCCCAGCAAGCAGGCTGGAGCTGGGCAAGAAGCTGGGAGGGGACACCAGCTGGACAGCTGACCCCAACTGACCAATGGGATATCCCATGCCGTATGACATCATGCTCAGTAATAAAATGGAGGTGGGTGGCGGGAGGGTGTTGGGAAGGTAGCCATTGCTCCGAAACTGGCTGGGCATCTGTCTGCTGCGCAAGGTGGTGAGTGATTGCCTTTGCACTGCTTGTTTTGGTTTCCTCTTCCACTTTCCCTCACTCATTAAACCATCTTTACCTCGACTCATGCGTTTTCTCACTTTTGCTCTTCCTATTCACTCCAGTGCTCAGCTGCCAGTTGGGGTCAGCCCACCACACCTACACAGCCTTTCTTGTCTTCCTTGTTTGAGCTATAGGACTCCTTCAGAGGAAGAAAGCATGGCTTTATACAGGCAATTAAGTTATTCATGCGCAAGTAAAAGCACATGCATGATTTGATGATACAACCTCAAAACTAAGTTTGTAGAGAGGCTTAGTCACCAAGTCTAATTTGAAGTCTCACCTGATGCCACACATCCAATTCATCTGTTCTGTGAAGCACTGAAGGAGATGTCATATAATATATTCAAAGTTTGCCTTAGCAGCTACTGAACCCAATTGCTTTTCCAGTATATTTAAATGAGAGTGTAAACAAAAGCTGGTGCTGAGGATGACAGAAATCTGTTTGATCTTTTAATTAAGGCAGCACTTAAACATCTTCTGAGCCAAAAGGTACCATACAACCCAACAGATATCATGCACTGGCATAAAGGAATATAGTACACTGAGTCACGTTTGGGTTTCAGAAAAATTCTGATGCTCTTCAAACCAGAGTGATTAATTAAGAGGTCAAAATGTCTCTTTTATTTTGGTTCAAAACATTTGGATTTTACTGATTTGTGCATTTGGAAAGAAATTTTTTAAAAAATCTTTCTGTAAAAAAGAAAGCAGGATACTTCTTTAGGTAATAGAGTAATTGAAGAATGAGGAAATAACTTTCTTTCTCAAAAGGCAAAAAAACACCAGCAGCTCACTTCAAGTATCTGTAAAATCTACGCTCTGATCAATGTGCCAGTTATAGAACTTAGGTGAGAAATTTCTGGTTTTTAACAGAAGGAAACAAAGAAGTGAATGAATTATAATTCAGTTTCATTGATTATTTTTACAAGTCAGCTGCGTGGAGATTAGATATATATTTTACCCACCTTTGATACTGAGATAGGGAAAAAGGAGTAAAGACTGTCAAATCATCCATAGTAATCTTCCATTACACTCCATGTGCTGGTTACAACCACAAGCAGTAATTCAGGTTCCTCCTTCAAAATTAAATTTTAAACAGCTGATTGACTCACCTTCTGCTGACAGCCCCTGTATGTTAATCCCCTTGGCAGCCAAGAAACTCAGGCATGCATCTATGTTTTCAATCTGTTCAAGAACAAACAGAGACACAAAAAGAAAATGCATTGTAATATTCATTTACTTTCATTTCTTGTCACTCTTTATTGCACTCAGTCTTCGTATCACATAAAAAGTCCTTTTGCTCATGCGGAAATCATAACATGAAACTTCCTCAGTTACTGAGGTCCTGAATTGATTATTACATGGGTCAGGACTTTCTGTTTGCATGAAACAAGTTAGTTAACGCTCTAACCACGAAAGGCAATCACTACAGTCTTACTAAAGGGTCAAGGATGTTATGCCAGGATTTTGAACCTATGATAAGCATAACAAACACGAAACCGAAAATAAACGTGGAAGCCACATTTGCTTGAGACGGCAGATTGCCACTTGCTCTGAAGTTGACAACAGCTGGCACAAGTTTTCAGCCACAAAAGCAGTCAACTATAAAAACGGTAACTGGAAACTCCACTGGAATCCAAAAAATGTTCACTCGCGACATCCTTTGCGTGTCAGAAATGACAGGCAACTCTGGTCGCTCACAGTGGGGCAAATACTGCCCTTCAGAGAGATGGTACAGTGGCACTAAACTGCACGGCATAAAAGGAATTTTGACCAGGTGGAGTCTTCTGCATAGCAGGTCTGACTGTTAGTGACTACAGCTGCTATATACAGACTGGACTCAAATCCTATCTCACAAAGTGAACTCCAGAAAGGTTGGATGAGTTACACATTTCTTCCCCTGTATCTTAACATCACAACAGAGATCTTGCAGTAGCTTCACACCTAGTTTCCCATCAATCTACCATCAAAGCTCTGCTTCCATATTCAGAAGATGAAGAGAGATGTCAGCCTCCCCAGACCAAAGCACTTCTAGGCAGAAGCCTAAGCTCAGACATCTCAAGAAGCTGCAAGGACCAACATTTTAGGAAACACCATGTGTTTCACGTGTGGTTACACAGAAGACTTTTGGATAATACCACTGAACAACTTTTGCTTTTATCATGGCAATCAGTAAGTGAGAATATAGGGTCTCCATGTTCGAACATCTTGCAAACATCCATTTATTCATTATCAAAACATCACAACCAAACTCTGCTTTCACTTCATAGCTAAGAAAGTAGACAGACACCAATCTCCACACTTGCTATCACGTCATTACCTTTCTTCTGTGAAGTCTGGAGACATCAAAAAGGAACGTGAAACATCCAGCTTCCCTATCAGTTCCTGCCAGCCCTCAAAGAAAACAGACAAGTTCTGGAGGCTGAGCTCCCAGCACCTGACCTGCGTTTCCCATCCTTCTCAAAGTAATAAAAAAGTACAACGAAAGCTGCTAGAAAACCTCCAGCATGGATTTCTCTCTAGGTACATTCATTTATTGTCAATAAATATAACAATAAAAACCATTCTTTTGTCTCAGGGAAAAAAAAGTTACTGGTGTTACCTAACTGATTTCAACAAGTACAAACACTGATATACTCAAAACTTTTATCAACCTCATTATACTCTGAGATATACTATATCAAAGTATACAAAGTATATAGAATACTTAGAGCATACTATATACTTCCAAACCCAGAGATACCAAAGAACACATTTCCTGTAATGTTCAGACCTTCAAGCTCATAGCAGGGTGCAGTTCAAAGGTTCATTTATCCACACTTCAACATGATACGACAGTCAATCTCTACCCGCTCCGTTTTCTTCATAAGTGTTCAACAACCCTTTCAAGTTTTCGACATGGCTCTTTTATTGAGGCGATCTGAGACTTTGCCGGAAAGCCAAAGTTCACCTTTTCAAGAATAAACACCACACAAAAGCATCTGTCCATATCTATCACCTGCACTTAACAAGTCTGCAACATTCCAAGAACATTTCCAGTCTTCCTCTGCTGTGGGTAGATGTCTCCTCTCGTAATAAGGAGGACTGGTTAGGTTAGTGAGTAAAGATAAGCAATATCTTGTTGCCCAGAGAAGTTGTGGATGCCCCATCCCTGGAAGTGTTCAAGGCCAGGTTGGATGAGGCTTTGGGCAGCCTGGTGTAGTGGAGGGTTTCCCTGCCCATGGCAGGGGGGTTGGAACTAGATGATCTTTGAAGTCCCTTCCAACCCTAACCATTCTATGATTCTATATATCTTATCTCCACTCCAGATTTGCAGTTGTAGAAACTCAAAGCAGCTCTTTCAGTCCTGAGAGCCCTAAACTGCTTTGCTTCTCTTCCCAGGTCCCTCATCTTTGCTCAAACTCTCCTTGAGGACCACAGATTTACTTCTAGGTAGCGAGTTCTTCATCCATGCTCTCATCCTTGGTGCTCCCCACCTGAAGTACTGTGTTCAGCTCTGAGGCCCCTAACACAAGAAGGACATCGATTTGTTGGAATGAGTGCAGAGGAGGGTCACAAAGATGATCTAAGCATCATGGAGCACCTGTGAGGAAAGGCTGATAGAGTTGGGGTTGTTCAGCCTGGAGAAGACCCCGGGGAAACCTTCTAGGAGCCTTCGAGTACCTAAAGGGGGCCTACAAGAAAGCTGGAGAGGGATCTTTTATGAGAGCATATAGTGAGAAGACAAGGGGCAATGAGTTTACACTGGAAAAGCATAGATTTCCGTTAGATCTAAGGAAGAAATTCTTCACTCTGAGGGTGGTGAGGCACTGAAACAGGTTGCCCAGAGAAGTTGTGGATGTCCCATTCCTGGAAATGTTCAAGGTCAGGTTGGATGGGGTTTTGAGCAACCTGATCTAGTGGAAGGTGTTCCTGGCCATGGCAGGGGGATTGGAACTAGATGATCTTCAAGGTCCCTTCCAACCCTAACCATTCTATGATAATATTCCTTGCTGACTCCCTAATCTCATGCTCATTGTAGATCTGATTCAGATTTAAGGTGCCCCCTTTAAAATCACTACCGTCTCT